ACCGCCGAAATCCAGGTTTAATATTACGGGGGGGGGGGGGAGGCGTTTTATATTAGGGGGAAGGGATTACACGTGCAAATAAGACATGTGGGAAGTCCCAGCTGCTCAGACGATGCCGGGAGTCTGACATGTGGGGGGGCGCTTTGGAAACTATTTCACCAGTTGTGGTTCCTTCTTCGTTCATAAACTGCTCATCCAATGCTTGCATCCTTGATTCTTAAACCCTAGACATCTTCAGATTTCCCGGGCGCAAAGGCCCTGACCAGCTCGCAACACTTCCGGAACAAGGTGTCAGACGTGTGGACCTCGGTTAAAACAGAACTTGTGCAAGACCTCTGCAACAGCCGCAAAGTGAACCAGCAGCACTTTTGCATACAGCCCTTCCACACGCTGGCGACTCGACACAGTTTCGGATTTAGGACTGGAGCTCTTTTTTCCTTCACATCTGTTGTCCCCCGTCTTGTTCTTATCCGAAACGGGAGAGGCATCATTGTCAGCTGCGCGCGGATCTTCGCATGCCTCTCCCGCAAGAGTTGGTGACACTCTCACTTGCCGAGATGCTTCCTCAACTGCTCTTGCACTGGCAAAGAAGCTGAGTCCTGGTTGAATACTATGTAGCCGCAAAGAAAGTCTTGCCACACACTTTCGTCCAGATTCATCATGAAGTTGTATGCCTCACCCTCCTCACCGAAGTCCACGATGGCCACGCAGCTTGCACCGACGACCTTGCGGGGCATGCCGTCCTTGTCCTTGCAGAGCGCACAAGAATGGTGGCTTGTTCAAACGTAGGGTTGCTAACCCCACGCCAGCTAAAACTCATGACAGATGATACTAGGATAAATCGGCTGAAGTATTTGGGGTTCATTGCTGCGCAATCTCCGCATGTGGTGCAAACATCTACGGCCTCGTGGTGCCCAAGTTATTCCAGACCTAACTCATTGGATGTAAGACTTCAGCAACCGGCTCGTGAAGGCTCGGAGGTGCAGCTTACAGGCCCAATATGGGTAGTTAGAGGGTCCCTTTTTGGTCCCCAATATAATACGGCACCCTTATAAAAAGGACCCTACAAGGGACCTCAATTTAGAGAACTACCCATATTGCAATTTTCGGAACAACCAACCCAACCAGGTTTCACTGAAGCTTTAGAGCTCCGGCAGACTCGAGCCTTCTCTAACACTTCAGGAGACCCGAGCTTCTGAGTTTCGCTTCAACAACGAAGCTTTGTGAACTAGACTTCCAGCCTGCAATTCAGTTTGAGAAGTAAGACGCATGTCTTGTCTTCCAGCCTCGCAAAAATGCAAAGGCTTGTGACGGCTTGTGCCTTTTGGCACAGTAGGTCACGACTCAAAACGATGCCCGAAACCAGATGAGCCCAGCATCGATCTTACAAAGGCCCGCCCATTCGCCGAGGCTTTTGTTGTCCGGGACGTCGATGACCGGCACATTCCTCGACGACTATGCACAGACATGCTCTCGACCATATACATTACATTCCCATGTGATTGAAGCTCAAGTTTAAATCTGTCGTTGCAGCGGCGGCGGTGCTGCAAAAACGGAGCCGTGATAAGAACTGAACAGCCACCAAATTGCTTCTCCACGCAGAGCCCCTGGATGAGCTTCTTGTACGTCGCCTGCAGGTTCGGGCCAAGCTTTAGCCAGCCCTTCCCGCTGACTGGCAGTCCCCGAGACAAACAACACCAAACGACTCTGTTCTGTGACCCCCAGACATAAGAAACCTACAAGTCCTCGCCACAGGCGTGTTCACAGCTCCATAAAAGGCCTCGTTGCAGGACTCGGACAGGAACACCTGGGCTTTTCTGACTTTGCGTGTGGCAGATCCTGAAGGTTCCAAGCCCTGTTGCCTTGATGTCTTGGGAGCTCTTGGCACTGTTCCCCTAAGCTCCTACTTAGAGACCTTGCCCAGAAACTCAAGGTCAACCCAGTTTGGCTGCTTGCCTTCAACCTTGGCACCCCGATTGAAAGCTGGCTCGTTTTTCGTTTTGCGCCTCCTGCATAATACAACAAACTGGCTCGAAATGGTTGCATCAGTTGCGGCACCGTGCGTATGGCTATGTGCAGTATCAGCATGTAGCACGAAAAGGGAAGGACAAGGCGGTACTAGTAAACCTTGTATTCAAAGAAGGCGCGAAGCCCCAGCCTTGGACCAGTTTTCATGTTCCGCAGTTTCTGGCATGATTTGTTTTAAAGGCTGGGTTGTTTGGTTGATGGGGGGGGGGTCGTGATAGTCGCCAATGCGACCGGCAAGCCCTCAACCCCGAAGGTTTCACTCAAGTCCCGAGCCGTCCGAGGCACGACCTGCGCCTTGCATGCCTCAATGTGCTTGGCCACCTGGCTTACGACCCGGGCAATCGGGGCAAATAGACGTTGTCCAGGATTTGGGCATAGTCTAAGATAGTATAAACCGTATAGATGGTTTTGCCAGCTTCAAGGCATTGGCCAGTTTAGGCTGCAAGCAAGAATAGGCTGCGGACCTTCTCAAATTGCAGTTGCACGTAAGACTCAGCTGTTTGCACAGGGCTTGCAGGTATCTGCACAAATGGCCATATCATAGCTCGCAATCGCTGACTGCCTTGCAGACTAGAGAAGACTTGACCGCAGGAGTCCCTTCGCGGCCGAATCCGTCATGCCCTCTGGCCTCTGGGATTTCGAAACCTAGAATACCTAGAATCTAAAGTCTGAGCATGCGGAGCCCCGGCCTCTGATCCCTCTGCAACAATGACACGGCATACACGGCCCACCTCATGCAGTCCGCGAATGGCGCCATCCACCATCAGTGACTTCTTGAGTACCTTACAGGTCCGGTTTGGAGGCTCCTCTTTCGAGGTATTCAAGCACAAATCACACCTGCTCGCATCGGTAGGCAACTTGTATTCTTGCCGACTTGTGAAGGAGCTAGGGAGGATGAGGTGAGCATGAAAGGCCCACCGCAGAAAGCGAGGCCTGCATTCTGCACAGATCATGCTGCCTTCGAAGCTAGAACACGGGCTCTCACGGGTCTCACTTGCACAGAAATCGAAACCAAGAGCCTCTCGAGCTCGGCGAAGGGCTTGCAGCTTTACTCTGCATGCGTCGGCCCGGCGTAGGCGTGATCTTAACAATTGTGAGAACTTGATGTTCCCTGCCCTCTGCCGACACCCGGCTCAGAAATTACACTGATTCGCGATTCGCCCGAAGTTTTTCAAGCCTCCAACTCCTCTGCTTGCAGTGTTCAGCACCAGTTCGTGTCTGCGCGCGACGGCTATGCAGACATAGTCTATCTTCTGTACTTGTTCGTTGGTGGAAGTTCGTGATGCGATTTCTCTGCCGCGACCGTCCGCGTACGCGCAAGCAGTCAATGCTGGCCCAGGCCGAAATTTGAGACATTGCCTTGCTCCGTTGCAGAAACCACAGCTCCAATTTCGGAATGCTTTGAATCATTTTCATTTTAATTTCGTTAATGTACCTGGGCACACTTTTGGCCTCGTCACCTCGCGTGCTAAATTCCCGTGCCGCACGCGTAGGGAGCACGTACTTACCTTCACACCTGTGAGGATGTGCTATGATGTGCTTTATGTCACCCTTCCGGTCAACCCTGTCCACCAGCTGCCCTGCCTACGAGTCCTGTTCCGTGGTCTCGGCCGACGCCGCTCAGGCGAGGCCAGTGGCGGGAAACTCAAGGCAAGGCTTCGCGTTAAATCCCCGTGAATCCACAACTTGGGGCTAAGTGAAAGTGAAAGCCTACCAAATACAAACTGGGCGTTGGGCATGCTGACAACGCTACAACTTATGCAGAATAAACCCAAGTCTGTAAAAAAAATGAGCAGTCCCCGAGATTGGGATTCCATAATCGGGCTGCCCTTGCTAGCGCAGCCCGAATGTGCAAAGAGCTGAATTCGATTATGCTGCATCTTGGCTTCTGATTTTGGTGCAGAAATGGAAGTGCTCACAATCCTCACCTTTGTGGCGTCTGTCTGGTTTTCGCCTGGTTTTCGCGTGTGGCCATCCAGCAGGACTTCGCACCTCACAAGCCACGCGGAGCAAGCGACATGGCATCCTCGAGGACCTCCTATGTATTTCAGCTCCTGATCCTGGCAATCAGCGCAAAACTCGGAGCGGCCTTCAAAAATGCAGTCTTCCCTTGCCACGGGGGCAATCTCTGGTATCAAAGCCGCCATGTCTTGACATCTTTGATATCAAATCCCCCCTGTGTGAGTAGAAGAGAGACTGCAATCGTCCGTGTCATCGCGCAACCATGCGGCAACTGCTGCAAGAAACAGAAGAACCCACACCCGTGCGCGTGCAGGAGCGCTGAGGGACGTCTCAGCCATTCACCCAGATATCTTGATACTAGTTTGAGCTATTTTTGAGTCTGTGTAAGCTCTGAGACTGGGTGATTCAGAAAAGGCAAACCTAAAAGTCAACATCCTACTGTAAGACCCGCTAAGTTAGACTCCCAGAGGCCTTTGAACAAGGGAACCCAAAGCAAAAAACCCTTTCTGAACCTGGAAGGCAGAGACAGGCCGCCTGGCGTGACAGCCCTCTGCTCTGAAACCCGAATAATACGGTTACCCTTAATATGAATATGTGAATATACATTTATACTTTTACTCAATATGAACAACTCCCGACATTGATAAATACCATAAATATACATATATTCATATTAAGGCATTAAGGGTAACCGTGCCTAATATTACGTATGAATATAGCTCCGAGAGGCGCCGCGCACGGCCCCCATGAGGTCGGTCACCTCCTCCTCGGGCTCGGCCTCTGGGACGGCGACCTCCTGGAGCCGAAAACCAGAAACAAAGCAACGAGTAATAATAATAAGAAGAAGAATAATAATACTAACAATAGTGATTTAATAATGATAATAGTAATAATAATAATAATAATCATAATCATAATAGTAGAAGTAATAACAATAATAATGGCATAATAATAGCAAAAATAAAATTGATACTAACAATACTCATATCATATTAACAGCAAAATATAAGCAACGCTGACAGTATTAATTATTACTGTTGTTATTATTGTTGTCAGTACTATTCTTATCATGCAAAATGTCAAAACAATAGTAATACGAATAGCAATAATAGCTTCGTGTAGAAAGATTGCAAGCAACTCAAATGCCTGTCTCTCTGTCGCTCGCTCTCTAACAGGGCTCTCTGGCACCAACCTGACCTCATCGTCCAGTTCGGCCATGGTTCTCTGCGATGGTGTAGTTTGGGGGACAGGTCAGATGCTAGATTCCCTCAGAGCCGAATTTGGCTGAAGGTTGCCGTGTCCAGAAGGTGCATCCCGATGCATGGGACACGGCCAATCAAGTACGGATACCAGTGGGGGCTACGGATATCTTTCCCACCTGCCAGCCGGTAGGAATTAATCCCCTTTCGGCTGAATCGGCCCTTCGACAGTCGGGTGTGGCGCACAACAAGACAGCGAGTGTCACGCTCCCGGGGAAATCCTAAGCCGAGTCTCCACAATGACCTCGGGATCCAGCCGTGCTTTGGGTCAGGACATCAAGAACGTGCAGCTCTGACCTGATGCAGATGGCCAGCACCGCATGTTCCAAAGGAATCCTTCCAGAGCTGAGGCAAGAGCTGTAGAAACAAAGCCTGTGTGCCAAGCAGCACACCAAACGCACACAAGCTTGGAAAGTTGAGGGCACCCGTAGCGGTAGCGGTTCGCTCCGACATTCAATCGCTTGCCGCTTGCGCTGCAATAAGCACGAGCTACATTTAGACTGCTGCCTCCTCGAGAGACAGGAAGAGGGCAGAAAGCTCTCGAACTTCAGTGCCCAAGCTCCTCACAAGTCGAGGCAACGGATTAACTAAAGGATGGGCGGCTCTTCGGACTTCAGGTCGCCACATAATTACGGCTATCGAACTCCTGAGACTTGCAGAACATGGCAAGGTCACCCACCTCCTGCGGCAAAGTAGGTCCATTGATGACCCTGCCATGGTGCTCAAGGTCAAGTCTGTCAGGAAGTGTATCAGGGAAGCTTTCACAGGCGATCCGTTGCCGCGACGGAGATGCCTGTTATTCGGTCCCCGGTGCCAGTGGCAGTAGCGACAAACCGGCGACTGATCCCTCTGCTCTTTACGGACACCCCGGAGCAAGAGCCTCTGTGGTCCGAGGGCACCAGAACGCTGTGCCCATAGAGGGTCCTGGTACACTTCTCGGCTTTGGCATTGCACATTTTTTTGGGGGGGAGTGGCCTAGAGATGTTTGCGGGCTGCAGCACCGGATCTCAATGCAGGCATACATATATATATATATTTAATATTATTATTATTATATTATTATTATATATTG